ACATTCAGTCTGGTCCATCTTCAGAGACGCTGAACTTACTGATTTATGAAGCCAAGCCTTTCTCCCGGCCCAGATGGGAAACTCCCAGCTTCTTAGACTTTTTCTTTTTCACGAGTGTTTTTCTTTCACGAGTCAGTGATTTGGGGGTGACTTTCAGAGCTGTACGACTATCACTACATTCCTGCCTTAGAGCATCTCCATCACCCTCAAAAGTTCCCTGGTGCCGGCGGAATCGCCCAGCTTCCGGCCCCGTGTCCTGATGCAGGTGGGACCAGTGGGGAGTCCAAACGCTCGCGTAAGGGACTGGCCAGTGAATTTGATCCACCTTGTCAAGAACTGTCCCCTCCAGGACCACTGGGATTTATGTCTTTTCCTCTCATTCTGCCTTCAGTGCCCAGGAGAGAGTTGGGTGCTAAGAAAACCTCCGAGTGAATTAAGGGTGGTTTTCTGGCCACGCCTGTGCTAAGGCTTTTTCCGGGCTGGTGACCTCATGCCCTCCTCCTAAGCCCTCTTTTCTCTGTTTACCTCACTATTTCTACCATTCTTTTGTCTTGAGCCTCTTAAGATGGGGAGACCCTAGGGTGGACACACGCCAGAGCTACAAGGCCACAGAGCTTTTCTGAGCCTGTTCATTCATCTCTCTCCCCCTCGGCCCTTTCTCTCATTCCTGCAGGTTCAGGAAATTTCTGGGAGACATGGTTCTAAGCCCACAGCATTCTCATCTTGGTTGGTAAGTTCGAGATTTCCCAGGGGTGGGCATAATAGGAAAGAGAGGTAACCTGAGAGGTCAGGGAAGGGGGGCCCTCCAGCCAGAGCGTGACCTTCTCAGCCAACGCCTGGATCACAGCTGTCCTAGAGTTCCCCATTGACCTCGACACTCCCCACCATTAAAAAGGTAGAGAGATGGGGAGAGGAAGACTCAGACAGAAGAAAGAGGAGGCGGGGGGAAAGTGGGGAAAGCCAGAGAGGAAGACTCAGACAGAAGAAAGAGGAGGCGGGGGGAAAGTGGGGAAAGCCAGAGAGGAAGCAGCCAGAAAAGGGGGGAAGGCAGAGAAAATGAGAATCAAATGAAGGGAAGGGGAAAGGAAGAGAAAGGGGATGATAAGGAAGGTGGGGGAGGCAGCGTGGAGGGGACAGACAGGAAAAGGAAACTAAAGCCAGTGGAGTCAAAGAAAAGCACACAGAGAAAGAGGAGGTGGCCCTTATGAGAGGGAAGACAAAGCCTTGCTTCCCCCCAAGTGCCTGCTGTCCCCATGCCACCCTCCTCCCTCCCCATGAGCTCCGATTTTGCCTGAGGGGCTGAGCAAGACCGAATTCCCCTGCAGCAGAACCTACCTCTGTGGCAAGGCGACCAGCTGTCCCTCTGTCTCCTTGGGGATGCTCAGGCAGGAGGATCACCCCGAGTCACAGGCTGGGGCCGGCAGTTCCAGGAGGTTCTCTGGCAGCTCCTGCAGTCTGAGTCAGGAGCGATGAAGCCCACCTTTCCTGGCAGCTGCGAGCTGCTGCCCCCGGGCTGTCCTGGCCACACAGGGTGCTATTCTCTTGGTGCTCAGAGCACAAAATCGGCAGAAAGGGACTCAGGCTCGGAGAAAGATCCCTTGCTAAAATCCTTCCCAGGAACTAGGTCGGGCCACAGCCTCAGTTTTCCTTCCACGCCTTAAGAAGAGCCACCTAGGAGATTCCTCTCATGAGCTAGACTTCCCTGGGAGGAAAGAGCTTCATTTCTCTGTCTTTGAGAGCTGGGAAGAGCCTCCCTCTGAGGGCGGGAGCTGAGACTCCATGATACTTAAAAGACTATCACCACTCCCAGGGAGGCCCAGCCTAGCTGCTGTTCAAGAATAAGTCAGCCCCTTGGCATTCCGAAGAGCACGATACTGACGCTGGTTTGGCTTGACAGTTGCTTACGTTCACATTTCTGAAGAATGGGGGAAGACGAGGCAGCTTCAGTGAGTGGGTAGGGAAACCAGAAAGAGAGGTCCAGGGGAAAAGTTTCGGGGAACAACTTCCTCCTTATTTCCCAAAGGTCCCCCATCCCTGTCCAGGCACTGGCAGCCCCTAATCCAGTACGTGGAAGGTGCTCTCATTTGAGAACTGGCGATGTGTGGTCTCCGCTCTCCCGCGATGCCCAAATCAGAAGAGAGAACCATCTGGAAGGTTGCTACGGTAACCAGAGTCCCCAGAGAGCCCCACTCTCCACACGCCCTGTACTTTCAGACATGCTCTGACTTGAAAAGGAGACATTTTCTCCGGGATGGAGATGAGGATGAGCACAGACACACGTGGACAGATGCGTGCACACACAGCCCGACCGCGTTTCTGCCGGGAGCATGCCCTGGCCTCCAGGGTGGGCCCGTCTCTTCTGTCCCACAGAGCCAGGAGTAACCAAAGGGATGTGGAAAACGAGCACTTCGGGCCTCAGAGCAGGTTTCTAAAGAGCAAACACCTGTCTCTCCTACTGTATTTCAGGTTGGGGAAGACGTACTCTCAGGCCTGGTGCTCTCTGGCCTGGAACGGGTCCCCCTGAACCCATGTAGGGAGCATCCTCCCCTCTGAAGGGTAAGAGGAAAGACTGAGGCCCCTTGCCTCCTCCCAGAGGCAAGGAGGGACTTCGGGAACTGTTGGCCCATAATAGCCTGTTCTCGAGCTTTGGGTCCAAGGCAGGAACTTGGAGGGAAAGCCTTGCTTCTGAGAGAGGGGGAGTCGGAATACTGAACTGAGAATCAGATCTGTTACTGAAACTGCCACATTTGCATAGCATCGTCCCCAGCTTCCCAGGTGAGTTCCTGGACATTCCCCATGAGGTAGGGAGGGGAAGACAGTAATGTTCCCATTTAATGGGTGGGGAAACTGAGGCACTAAGAGGGACAGTGGCGCCAAAAATACCCTGTAAAACCGGCAAAATCCAGACTGAGATCTGGCACTCCTAGGAGCCACGCTGCCTCTCAAGTAAACCTTCAAAAGGCTGTCCCTTATAAGTTGCTCTTTGAGACGATCCTTTTAAAAAAATTGTCATCAAAGTTTCTTAAAGCATAGATACAAAATTAAAAAAAAAAAAAATACATGTTAACAGTCCTTTTGGTTTCAGAATTGCACCCAGAAGAGTTCAAAACAGTACCTCGCAGTTTAGGATGGGAAAAAAAAAAAAAAGAAGGGCAATGTTACCGAGAGAGAAGTGAAGGCAGTGGGCAGACGGAAGAGATGGAATCGGATGGCTTGGTCCAGGTAGGAGCCCCGCCACGGTACCTTACCAGTCAGAGCAGGTCGGAAGCAGCTTCCAGGGGCGGAGCAGGCGAGGAGAGCCTGACTCACACCTTTCACCGGGAAGCTGTGGACAAAGCACTAACACTTGTTCTTTACGCCATAAAATGGGAAGAGATCCTTGCTGGTATCCAAAGCGTGCTTTTCACTTGTCTGTGGGTTTTAGCTGGAGTTTGCTTGAAAAAGTCTTCACCTGCACTCCTAAGTCAAATTCCCAGGTAGAAAGGTGAAGGGTTGGAAGGGGTCGGAGGAAAACAAGACAGAAAAAGCCATCACCTGCAACCAGTTTCCTCTGCTCCTCCGAGAGGACAGCATCTGTTTAACTGGCACGCTGCTGCAGGTCATGGCCAAGCAGTTGCTGGACTCTACTCAGCCATGTCTCCCGGCTCTGCGGGTCCGGCTCTTCCCTTCTTCCACACAGGAAGGCACTTGCTAAGTAGAGTATTGGACTCTAAGAAGGGCCTTCCTGGGAGCTAGATTTGGGGGATCAGAGTGAAGAGGGCTAACTGCAGACCTCAGGCCAGTCTCCTGTGCTGGAATACACCTGAAAGAATCCATTGGCCCCGTAGGTCCACGACTGGCCCTCATGTCCTCCAAATGGCCACGCTTAATTCTATGTTGTCTAATTGCATCCAAGATTAGAAATGAATGGCATACTTTGTGCAAATAAAGGTTTTACCACGCGCCCTCTGCAGGGTGGCTAGCAGGCGGTACGGGGCACTGGGATGCAGCAGCAGGTGGGGTACTGCTTCTGTCCCCCCGCTTCTGTCAGTTACCATGTGGCTGGAAGCTTAGACAGGTCCACGTCCCAAGTCAAAGGACACCAGGGAGAGGAATGGGGCCCAGGTATGGCTAGTTTCCGTCCTCCTGATATCTCTGTTATTTAGAGATGCTTCAAATCCCAAACGTAAGACTTCAGAGCCTTGAGGGAGTGGAACAGAAACGTGTTTCTCCTCTATGTGACAGAAACGGGTGTGGCTGGGTGGCACCATTGGAATTTCAAAAATGTCACTGAGATGGATGGACCTTGGCTGCCGTAGCAATAAAACACACGCG